CCCCCCCCCGTCCCCCCCGTCCTCCCCCTCCAGTCCGGATGCTCACTCCTCCGCCTCTCCTGGCACACCAAACAACGCAGATTGGCTTCGAGTTCCGCGGCAAGGCCACGAACTTCCGTGCCCTCGATTACGCCACGCCGGAGCGCCCGCTCGAGGAGGGGGACTTCCCCTTCTCCTTCCGCGTGGACCAGGTGTCCGACACATATCGCAAGCTCTTCGGCACTCGGAGCGCCGGGCCTACTCTGTACAGTGGTACGAGTGCATGCGCTTCCACCTTCCGGAAGTATGATCCTGCGGCTGCCTCCAATGCTGACTCCCCTCGGCCCCCCCCCCCCCCCCTTCCAGGCACTGCCTTCACGTCGATGACCTCCTCGCCCGCCTTCAACCTGGATTCCTTGCAGGTGGTGTCCTTCCTTCGGGGTAACCCGACCACCTTTGTGGCCGATGTCACCAATTACGATGTCCCCCGTACGCACCCTTCCCCGGGTCTTAAGGCAGGGAGCGGGGCGCACTCTCCTTCCTCACCCTCTGGCACATTGGCTGACCCTTGTCCGCCCTTCCTCCCCTTTTCTGCCACGGGCTTTGTCCCGCGCGCCAGCTACCCTCCCGGTGATGGGCCGGTCGCTGGATCTGGTGGCCGGCATGCAGACTCGCAAGAACACCCGCGCCCTGCTGGCCGGATCCACCAGCATGATCTCCAACCACGCGCTCGAGGCCGGCAACCGCGCCTTCGCGCGCAACGTCCTCCGGTGGGGTGTCAACCGCGCTGGGCTCCTGCGCGTCGTATCTACCACGCATCACCTGGCCGACTCTGCGGCTGGCCCCGCCGGGCCGCGACCCTCGGAGTACACCATCTGGGATCGGATCACCTTCCGAGCGGAGATCCAGCAGCTGGCTGACGACGGCCGGACGTGGATCCCGGCCACCGGCATCGCCCCCTTGTGCGTGCACCGCCCGCCCCCTGTCACCCCCGCGCCCGCCCTTTTGGTCGCCTCCCCTGGCCTGATCCGGTGACTCACCCCCCCCCCCCCCCCCCGGTCTCTCCTGGCCACACTGGCCCGCAACTCGCTCCGCGCCCGCGCACAGCGTCGAGGTCAAGATGCTTGAGCCATTTTTGCGCGCGGCCCTCGAGCCCACGACCGATGGCCACTTCACCGCCACCTTCTCCCTGCCCAATGCCTATGGCGTGTTCACCTTCAGCCTGTCGCTCATGTCCCCGGGCTTGAGCTTCATCAATGTCCCGGAGGTGGTGGCCATCCGGCCGCTGCGCTATTCGCAGTACGAGCGCTTCCTCCCTTCGGGGCATTTCTCCTACGCCGCCATTTGGGTGATGGCCGCCGCCACCGTGCTGGTGACGCTCTTCTTCCTGCTGCACCCGGCGTCCGTCGGGCAAGTCCAGGAGGCGAAGCAGGTGGACGATGGCGCCCGGCCGTCAGCGAAGCGGAAGGCGCACTAGGTCTCTTCCCCCCCCCCCCCCTGCCCCGCGCACCTGCATCCCTGCGCACACATGTGGGTGCCGCTGTCGCGCTCGCCCCCCTCCTTCGCCGCCCCTCCGGCGTCATCGGGGTCCCCCGAAGTGCGAGGCTCCCCCCGTTCCCTGCGACTGTTGTCGCTTCCGCTGCTGCCGCTGTCGCCGCCGCTTCTCCTTTGCCCCCCCCCCCCCAACCTGTCCCCCGCCTTTCCGGAATAAAAACAACCACCTTCCACCCCACCTATGCGGTCTCGCGCGGCTCCGTCCCGCCTTTGGTGGACTCATTTTTAGATGTATTTTCGGCCCCTGGTGGGTGTTTTCTTTTGGCTATGTGTGCGTGTGTGTGCCACACAGATAGACGTGTCTTTCTTCCTGGCCTTTGTTTCTTCTTGTCGTGCCAAGTCCTCCAGCATGCCCGGCTAGGGGTCGGCCATGGGGCCGGCCGGCGCGCGAGCCACATTGTCCGAAAGAAAGCGCTGCCAGCTGGCGGTCAGGGTCCGGGCACTGGTCATCCGGTCCAGCAGGGCATCCGTCAAGCGGGTTTGCGTCACAACGGCCTCAAGCAGGGCGGTCGTGTGTTTGGTCAGCTGCGGGGGGAGGGGGGGGGCAACTGATGTTAGACAGGAGGCGCCGGGAGCCGGGGAGGACATGCAGGGTGCACGGGCATCTCGGCGAGGGGGGGGGGTGCCGGGGGATGGCGAGCATGCCGCACCAGGTCGAGCTCCTGCAGGATTCGCTGCTCGCTGCCCGTGGTGGCCACGATGGTTTCACCCGGTAGGGGGGGCTCGCGATGGGGGGTGGCCATGGCCAATGGCGGTGGGCGTGCACCGGTCGCGCACGCAACGAGCAAAAAGGACCGCGCGGGGAATGCACGCAGCGGCGGGAACGGGGAGAATCGAAGCAAGCAGCCGGAGTCCGGCGGCAGGAGAGGGCGAGGTGGTGATAGTGATGGTGGTGGCGGTGTCGGGAGCCGGATCTCGGGGAAGTGCCTCTCGAGTGGGGCCGGCCGAGCGGCCAGCATCCCCTGAGGGGGGCGTTTGGATCGCCATCAAAAGTGGTGAGCCCGCCGATTGGTTAGATCACGCTCCGTGCCCGGTCCACCCCCCACCTCGAAGATCAGGCGTCTTTGGTGGGGATAATCTCCGTCCCGGTGTGCGCTCCGTGAGTCCTTTCGAGGGTGGCCCCAGCCCCGGCCCCGGCAAGTGTTGCAGGCAGGCGTGCCCTGGCCGGGCGTCCATCGGCCGGGTCCCAATGGATTGTTCGCTGGCGAGCGGCAAATCCTCCGCAAATGGCCCCGCGCCCCGGGCCCCTCCTTTCACCAAGGGGACCGCCCTGCGGTTGGCAGCTCGGGGGCCCGTGCGTATGCACCCCACCCGCAGGGAGAAAGCGCCTTGCCGGGCTGGGCCTCATCTTCCCCCCCCTCCCCCCACCGGAAGCGATGTGCCGCCCGGCGCGCCCCGGGTCTTGTCGGTCCTCCGGGTCGATACGCCCCGCAAGCGCCTTCTCAAGAGCCGGGGCAGGGCACGGGAGCCGGGTGGCATATTGTGGCACCCCCCTCCTCGGCTCTCTTCCCCTCGCCGCACGGATTTCTCTTTCCCCCTTGCCCCGCTCCCCTCCTCGCACCTGATCATGCTTTCGCGCTCTGTCTCTGGCCTCGCCCGCACGACTGGCGCGCGCGCCGCCCTCGCCCTCGCCCGCCCCGCCGTGGCCACCCGCTCCCTGAGCACCCGTGCGTCTCTGCTCCCCTCCCGGGGCGCTGGGCTTTCCAAGCGCCGGCATCCCATCCCCGGGCCCTCTCTTTGCCTTTGGCCCGCCCCGCGGCCCTGCCCTCGAGAGACTGACCCCATCCGCCGGGCTTGGCCCCCCTCCACCTGCTTTCCAAACGCAACACCCGCATTACACAGTGAGCGATGGCCTCACCGAGGAGCAGCTGTCCATCCAGAACCTGGCGTTGGACTTCGCCCGCAACGAGATGGCCCCCAACATGGCCCGCTGGGATCTGAAGGAGGAGTTCCCCGTGGACACCCTGCGCACCCTGGCCAGCATGGGGTTCGGCGGTGCGGCCAGGGCCCTCCTTGCCCTCTTTGCCTGCTCTATCCCCCCCCCCTCTCTCTCCGTCTCTCTCTCTCTCTCTCTCTCTCTCTCTCTCTCTTCTCGCCATGCAGCCCTCTTGCTGACCATCGCCCCCCTTCAGGCATCTACGCCAGCGGCAAGTACGGCGGGTCGGATCTTAGTCGCCTTGATGCCTCAATCATCTTCGAGGCCCTGTCCACTGGCTGTGTTGCCACCTCGGCCTACCTGTCGATCCACAAGTGCGCCATGCTGGCTGCCGGCATTGCTGTGCCATCACCCCGATCCCCGCCCCCCCCCCCCCCCCCCGCCGGGCGTGGTGGAGGGCCTGGAATGCTCGACGATCGGCTCGCCATACTTACCCACATTTCATCTTGCTCCTCCCCCCCCCCCCCCCCCCCCCCCCCTCCCCCCCCCCCATCCCCCCCCCCCCCCCCCCCCCATCCTAACCCTCTGGATTGCTTGTCTGCTCCCCCGCCTCCTCTTCCTGCCCCGGCTCCCCCTCGTTGTCCCCTCGGCCTCCCATCTCTTCCCGCCTCCCAGCATGTGCGTCTGGATGATTGATGCCTTCGGCTCGGAGGAGCAGCGCGCCAAGTACCTGCCGGATCTTGTGTCTATGAAGGTGCGCACCACACGTCCGGCGGCCTGCTCTCTTGGCTTCCCTGCCGGTTGGCACCTGCGCCCCGCGATGCTGGCTCTCTTGGGCCGTTCTGGAAAACTCACCCATTCCCCATGTGCATGCGCAGAAATTCGCCTCCTACTGCCTGACCGAGCCCGGCAATGGCAGTGATGCCGGCAATCTGAAGCTCTCGGCCAAGCGGGATGGCGACCACTACATCATGAACGGCTCCAAGGTGCGCCCCTGCCGGAGGGCCTTTCACATTCATCCTCCTGGCCTTTCCACTCTCGGGTAGCGCTGTCCCCCCACTCCCGTGTGTCTTCCGTGCACCGAGGCGTACCGCGTGCCGATGTGCTCGCATGTCTGCCCGCTGTCCGGCCCTCCCTCCTCCTGCTTCCCCCCCCCCCCCCCACTGACCGGCCATCTGCACATGCGCCCAGATGTTCATCAGTGGCGCCGGCTTCAGCGACATCTATGTGATCATGTCGCGTACCGGGCAGCCCGGCCCCAAGGGCATCTCCTGCGTGGTGGTCGACCGCACCGAGATGGAGCAGGGCCTGTCCTTCGGCGGGCTGGAGGCCAAGGTTGGCTGGTCCTGCCAGCCGACGCGCACGGTCACCCTGGAGGATGCCCGGGTCCCGGTGGCCAACCGCCTGAGCGACGAGGGGACCGGCTTCAAGATCGCCATGAGCGGCCTTGATGGCGGGCGGCTGAACATCGCCAGCTGCTCGCTCGGTGGCGCCCAGGCGGCCCTGGACGCGGCGGTCTCCTACACCAAGGAGCGCCAGCAGTTTGGCGGCCCGGTGGCGGCCTTCCAGAACACGCAGTTCAAGCTGGCCGAGATGGCCGGCCAGCTGACCGCCTCGCGGCTGATGGTTCACCGCGCGGCCCAGCTTCTGGATGAGAAGAATGCCGCGGCCGCGGACGCCAGCCTCTCGGCGCCCTCCATCAATGTGACCGCCTACTGCGCCATGGCCAAGCAGTTTGCCACCGACCGGTGCTTCGACATCTGCAATGAGGCTCTCCAGCTCCATGGCGGCTACGGCTACCTGAAGGACTATCCGGTGCAGCAGTACATGCGCGACACCCGCGTCCACCAGATCCTTGAGGGCACCAACGAGATCATGAAGGTCATCGTTGGCCGCGAGATGATCAAGGACTAGATGCCGCTCGGGGAGGCGCGCTGGTGTGCGGCCGCCCGGTGGTCCGCCCCCCGGCCGGCGATCGGCTTTCCTGTACTCCCCCCCCCCCCCCTCCTCCCCTTCCTGTCACACCAGGGTCCACTCCCGCTGCCTAGACTGCCCTCCCCTCCCCCTCCTGGTCGGCCGCCGCGGTCCTGGCCCCTGAATTAATTACCTGCTCTGCACATGCCATCCCATTGGCGTTCCCCGCATCCTTGTTTCCCCTGGTTGTACATACACACACACACACACAAGTACACGCGGGGAGGGGTGTGAAACTATTACTATCCATTTCCGAAGGGCGAGCCGGGCGGGCGACAGCACAGTGCGGTGACAAACGCAGGGAGAGGTGCATCTAAACGCCAGGAGGGGCGCAGAAGTCCAGGCTGAGGTCCGAATTGCCCACATGCACACGTATGTGTGTGTGTGTGTTTGTGTGTCTGTGTGTGTGTCTGCGTGTGTGTGTGCCTGAGTGTGTGTGCCTGCTTCTCGCCCATTGGAGGGTCCGACTTCCCGGCCTGGAAGTGTGATTCAGAGCTCCGCGTGGAGATGGCCAGCATCGAAGCCAGGCAGCTGGGCCAGGGCCGGGGTGGGGACCGGGGAGACCGGCCCTGCGATGTCGGTGCCAGCCGACAAGCCGAGAGCCGAGCGCGCAGCCGCCACCAGGGCCCCAACGCCCTCGGGATCGGCGGCCACCAACAGGACCAGTGCCACCACCAGCCCCAACACCAGCAGCCCCACCAGAGTGTAGAGCGCCGCGCGCAGGAGGGCAGCCCGGCGCCGATCTGCCCGGTACCCGGGGACCGACAGCTCGGTCAGCCGGAGGGTCGAGTCCGGGGACACCGTGAAGAGGGCCACATCGAAGCGCTCCAGGGTCAGCGACGCGGCGGTGGCGGCGGTGGCGGCCTCGGCGGCCCCGGCGGCCCCCGGCGGCGCACTCTTCCCCAGCCCCACGACCCGAGGCCGCATGGCCACAGAGCTGATGGGCAGGTCGTGCAGGCCCAGCTTCGAGGCCACCAGCTCGATGGACGCCTGGCCGACAACCCACCCACGCTCGACAAAGGAGGCCTGCCAGGCCGGAGCATCGACCACCAGCCGGGCCAGGCTAACCGACCCGTCGCTCAAGCCCAGCCCGGCGTAGTACTCCCGGCGGATGCCGCCACCCGCCAGTGACTCGACCGCCAGCAGGCGCGGCACACTGGCCGCCGAGATGAGCTTCGACCGGATGGCGCACGAAGTGACCGGGGCCATGCTCATGACGACATCCTCCTGGTGGAGGACCGGTGCCAGGGCCGGCTGCTGGGTCGGGTGACCATCCGGGTCCAGGCCGCGGATCTCCGGCGACGGCCCGGCCACGGAGATGGTCCGGGCGGACACCTGCCGGCGCAGGGACAGCCGTGAGAGGGTCAGCTCGCTGAACTTCCGGTCGGCCCGGTTGAAGGCGGTCAGCACATCCACCGTGTCCGGGTAGGGCCCGGGGATGAGGCTGCACGTGCGCATCCACATCCGGCTGCTGGTCGACTGGCCGGGCTTCAGCGCCGGGATGGCCATGCGGAAGATCAGCGAGCTGATTTGCACCGACTCCACGGGGGCCAGGCAAGATGCCCGGGCCTCGGGGTCCGTGCCCTCCGGGAAGAAGGACCGCACATGCCAAAAGAGCTGCAAGTGCCGCGTCACCGCCACCAGGACCAGCTCCTCGGCTGTCCGGCCCAGCGGCGAGTCCGGATCATTGGGGCCGGCTCCCGAGGCGGTCGGCACCGCGGCAAAGGCCAGATGGTCGATCTCCAGCGGGGCGGCTGTCTCCGACCCGTCGGCCTCCGGCAGGCTCAGCCGAACCAGCAGGTGCAGGGCCGGGTCGTGGCCCTGGTAGTCGGGCGAGGTGGTGTTGTTGCACAGCCAGAGGGACACCTTGCCGTCGGTGCCGCCCGTGGCCAGGATCCGCCCGCGCGGGG